AACATTTGAGAAAAATAAGAAAACCAATGTGCAAAAGAAACAAGCAATCAATGTGCAAATATTGCTTTTTTCATCATTTAAATGCAGCTGGGTGGCAAACAGTACACTCTACTTCACTATATGCACTGGATAAACCGTTTTTTTTTTTTCAACTTTAAAAAAAGTATGTGTAAAGCGTGCTGGTAGAAGAAATAAGATGTAAAACTGTGCTGGTATTTACAATAACAAGAGCACTGAAAAGTGGCTGTCTTAGGAATGTATTAGATACATGTGATGTGAAGAAGGAGCATGTGTGAGAGATGGTAATAATGGCGAGACCAACCTGTTGGCTGAGAGGAGGGGAATGCAGAGGCGCCTGGAGCCCCATTTGGTGTGAGATGATTGGCTGCGACTGCTGCATGCGGATTGGCTGGTTGAGCAGGGAGCTCTGGTGCAGGGAGAGCTGAGCGTGCGGGTGCAGAGGTGGGCTGATCTGGAAGGGTGCTGGGGGAGAGGCACTCATGCTGGGCGGGAGCATCTGGGACTGGCTGAGGGCCGGGGCCAGGCTGTGGCGGGGCGGACCGCCGTAGCTCTGCAGGTCCGACAGGGGGAAGGAGCCCGGCGGGCCCAGGTAGGGTGAGGAGGGCTGAGGGGGCACGCTGTACAGGGGCTGCTTCGGGGGCAGCAGGTGGGAGGGCTGGCTGGTCTGCTGGGCACTTTTTGGTTCGGGGTCATTGTACGTCTGCGTGTAAGAAATGCATCATTTTAATAAGACAAGAAGGGCTCCATTAACGGCATCACAATAACACATCAGTCACAATTCATCAGCATATGATCACAACAGAGCTCCTCCATCATCTTTTAACAGCAGCATCCATTACACTTAAAGCCAAACTCTCAGCCGTGACTTGTATTTTAAAGGGAAATGTTATATTATCTTATGTCAGCTGGAACCAGGTGATTTCCTGCAGTCTTGTCTTTGTAGGACTCACACACATGGTTTTAAAGCACCAATTTGGGAAATATATATATATTGGTGAGATTAAAATGAGACAGACTAGCTATTTCTAGTATTCATGCTAAGCTATGCTAAAACCATCCTTTGGCTCCATATTTATATTGAATTGGACAGATGGTGGAAGCAGGGTGGAGGTCAAACTGGCACCAAACTCCACCAAAATCACCCAAACTTGACCTTTTCTCAGTCTGGACAGCATCTCTCTGAGCAGGTGCAGCACCCACAAAATACCTCCACCTCCACCTCCACCCCGCCCTCTCCAGGCCGCTGTGATGAGCTGTCAGATTGCTCATCTCCAGCCATCAGTGTTGATTAGAAGGTAATGGAGCCCATTTGTATGAATAGAGCTGGGGCCGAGGTAATGATCAATAGACACCTTGACAGATAGATGGGAAAAAGAGAGGGAGACACACACACACATACACACACACACACATACGCGCACACATGCACATGTACGCACACACTCAACCACACATACATACATACATATATGCAGGACCCCAGGCAGAGAGATGAGGCTGTTTGCCTGCAGAACAAATGGAATGACAAAAGGAATCTTCCCCACACTACATTGTGTGTTGTTAATACAAGACGGCACTAAACAATGCAATCCACAGCCCTCCTCCTTGCCTTTCGTTATTCCCCTGTGCTACTATGCTGTTGCATACAAGACGCCATCATTCTCTGGGGCGAGAAAAAAGAAGAAGAAGGAAAAAATAAAAGAAGCAGGACGTCATAGATCTGAATTAGCGGGAAGGTGTCAGCTGCAACGCCAATGATTGCCTGCGTTGATTTCGATGGACTTCCTGGTGCAGATGGCGAGAGGAGGAAATCGATGATCTAATGCATGACACAGGTGTCTGTCGGTGAATTTAGGATTGCTGTTTACTAAAGCGAACTGTAACCGATTTACACCTGGTAGCGCGTCGTGAGAGAAGAAATTATCTTCTAGCCTTCAACCTCCATATGGCCATATGCTCATGTGCTCCGACTGGCTGACCCCTCCCCCAACCTTATATCACTATACCAACTACAAATCCCAACCCCCAATCTGCACCCTATGGAAATCAGGTATTGTTCTAAATATGGCCTGCTCTTTTTTTTTTTTTTTTTTTGCATCAGATGCCCCCACCCACTCCTCCACCACTACCACTACCACCATCATCTCATCCCAAGGAAGCCCCTCCCAGCCCATTAGCAGGGATTTTCCATCCAATCCATCATCAGTCTTAGCCAGGGCCAGTGTGTCATAAGCGTTACCTTGGAAACCAGACTGGCTCGGTACGCAGCCAAGGCTTTTAGGTACTCTTTCTTAGCCGCCTCGGTTTTCCTCTTGTACCCCTGTGAAGACAAAAAAAAAATAAAAAATCAAAACAAGAGGTTTCGGGTGAGAGGAGAGGTTGACGTAAACACACACACATCTCTCAGCTTTTTAGCTCACTTTCTTAAACACACCCTGCACACATGAACATGCACTCACACAAAAAAACATGTCCTTAATGTTCCTCTTTCCATCAGAACCAATGGTACAGAACACCTCTATTTCCTCATCATGGCACTAATACTCCCTCATCTCAATGTGTCTCCCTCGATTGTAGCAACACATCATTTCCATTCCAATCCACCTCAGAGAAATGAACTGGAACTTCTCCCTCTCTCTCTCTTTCTCTTTCTCGCTGTCCCTTTAGCACCACAATAACACTATCAGTATCGCTGACATTAGTGATAACCCAGAATGGTTGTTGTCATTTGGCACATTAGGATGTGATCCCTCTGTGTGAGTTTTGTTTTGAAACTGCCTTCCATATTGTTAGAGTGATGCACAGACCTCCGTTGTCATACAACCAGCAGCTGCTGCGTTTCCCAAGAAGGCAGTGGGTTTGCATAAAGAATGTGGGTTTATGAGTGCATATGGATATCTGCACGTATATATAAATCTGAGTGCCTGTGTAGGCTGTGGTAGAATGACTGAAAATGGGGCTATTAGCTATAAGGGCTATGAGTGAAATCATGTCTATTATGCAGAACAAAAAAGGACAGGGACATGTGCTTCCTAGTAAAGAAAACATGTGTCTGTGCATTGGATTTTGTTTGACTACTATTACGTTTAGTGAGACCAAAATCTTTTTTTTGATGATGTTTTTTCTACAAAATCTTTTGCTCAGAAGCAAAACTTTAAAAATGTTACCTACATCTAAATAAATGTTTGTAACTGATGCTTTAATATGTAAAGAAAAGTGTCCTATACTGCATCTTTTCTTAAAATTAAACCTTGCTTTTCCCAGGAGCCTTGATAATAGCCCCAGCAACTTTTCTTTTAGGTGAATACCCATAAAACACAACTTCCTACAACTCTGTCATCATTAGCATTGCCCACCTATTACTGCTGAGCTTGACGTGACGTTAAATAGCAGCAAAAAAACAATAGATTGCTACTGCTGGATAGCCAAGATGCCCTTCAGCTAAATCCAAGGATAAGACGATAGTGGAGGGGGGATCACTAATTCTGTATTCTAGGCAGGATCAAAATAGCAGGCGAGAGATATAAATAAAGAGAGTGGAAATGAGAACTTCACACATCCCAGCTTGTCAGAGGGCCAATGAAGATGCATGGTGTGGAGGCACCAGCTATGGAGGCTGGAGGGACAGAGGAAATGGGACACTATCTTGGCCTAAAGCTTTGTGGGAGTTTTGTTTTGGCAAAGATGATTTCCACTTTTTACGCTGTATTTTTGGAAAATCTTTTTTGTTTTTTCTTTCGGTTTTGATGGACATTGCACTGCTGCTAAACAGCCCTCAGAAAACGCCTTTGCATTGTGATAGTTGGAAACAAGTAGAGCAACGGGGAGGATTTGAGCGTCTGTGTGTGCATTCATATGCGATTGTTTGCTTTTGCAGGGGTGCACTAGCAAGTGAGTATGTGTGTATTTACCCACTGCATCAGGCCTGGACTCCTGAAATCTCCCCAGGCATGTTTATATTTCTCCCATATTGACCATTTCTTGCCTGTAAAATGTCCTACTTTGTTAGTCTCAGACTGTTTTACGGCTATTGTTGCACAGAACGCTCCCCCACCCTTCCTCGCCGTTCCCTTTGTTAGAATTAAATTTAGAAAGAAAATCATTTTAATGAGAGTCAGGGGAGTGGGGATAAACGGATGGATTATCTTTAGAAAGAGAAGAACTAGCTCATTAAGGTGAGCTGTATCTCACAGCAATGTTCTGGTAATTACACAGCAGATAATGCCAACGAAAAGCTGCTGCGACGCTGCAGCGCACGCGCCATCTACTGGAGGGACCTCAATGTAAACGTGCATATTCCCTTGGACCTTTATATCACAAACATCCTTTTTCTAAGCCAATAAACAAAAAGGTTTACATTCTGATGCATCATGAAATTCCATCAGTCTACAGATAGTCTGGAGAACTGGGGCCTTCCAAAAGCCTCCATCGCAACATCATGAAGAGAAATAAGACACTGAGGTGTCCTGGATCTACAGAAGAATTGTGTCTCCAAGAAGCTTAAAATAACGGACTTGACACAGTGAAACTGAATCAAACATTGATATGATTTTGTACATTTAAAACTTATTTCTAGAGAAATCTGTGCAATATCAACAATTTTTTAATCAGTATTTCTACTCATTGAAGAATCTATTGTTATTCTCTACATCCACGGCAATCTGTGCAATATCTGAACATCCACATATGGAAGAATCAGTACTTATGTATACTTCTTTGTTTGTTAGTTTTACTTTTCTACTGATGTTACTAACGTGTTTGACTTATCCTATCTGCTGCTGTCACACTGCAAATTTCCCCACTGTGGGATTAATAAAGGCTTATGTATGTTCTGTTATGTTATGCTATGTTATGTTATGTTATGTTATGTTGTGTTATGTTATGTTATGTTATGTTATGTTATGTTATGTTATGTTATGTTATCCTAATTGTTTTTTTTTCTGACCTCATTTGTGCAGTTTGTAGTGTGAGTTAGCTCATAATTAAAAACTTGTCATAGCATTATTTTGCACTTTGGTTTTGGTGCCACTCATTAACTGTTAATGTCCTCAGCTTTTCCCTGCATCTATGAGTTTCCCCCCCGTCTGCTTTATTCTTTATATTCGTCAAGGTCTGCATGTTCTGTACCTGCTTCTGTTCCTCTCCTAGGCTGTCCCACATGGAGGCCACGATCTTGGACACATCCCCGAAGGTGGCGTTGGGGTTTTGGCCCTTGATGGCCGCCTGGGTGTCTCTGAAGAAGAGCGCGTACGCTGATACGGGTTTCTGGGGCTCGTTGGGATCCTTCTTCTTCTTTTTCTTTTGAGGTTTGGGTTTGGGCTTCATCATATCCGCTGAGGGTCGCTTCTCGCTGCTTATCTGGAGACAGAAAAGAGGGATGGAGAGGTCAGTAATGAGTTAATATTTGGCTCTTTTTTTGCTGCAGCCTCTACAGAAATAAAGCTTAGGGAGTTTTTCTAGTATACAGTGTTTGTACGGGCGTGACGCACTGGCTGCATTTTTTTTTTCCCAAGGTTGCATTCATACATATATACACACAGTCACCTACAAATGCATGTAAGCATGAACACACACATATATACAGAGATCCGTCTGCACCTTTGGAAGAATAAAGACTAAAAGAACATTAGTCAGACAGGTTCGCTTCGATCTTTGAGGAGAAACTGGATGGAAAAGAGAACGAGTTGGGTTAATTAAAATTTCATCTGCAGCAGTTTCACTTGCTTTCACGTTGGTAACATTTTACCAGTGCTTAAATCACCGAATTCATGGATTTGTTGTCCTTTTTTTTTGATGTAGACCACAAAGGATCGAAAAACACATTCGCAGAAAATAATAAAAAGGATTATATATATATATTTCTTTCCTTCGCATGTGCCCAGCTAGTTTGTCAACAATAATACACTGCAAATCTCTCTGCATTTTCAGGGGGGGAGCAAAACTGCTCACATCTGCCTGATGTTCTTGATCCAATACACATGAATACATTTTCATTTTCCACGGAGGGCTTTGACTGGGAGTCAAATCCAGGTCACCTGATCCTGGAAGTGATTCTATATGGAAATTGCCTTCTTTGCTGAGGAGAGAACACGTCAAGCATGGGAGGAAGAGGGAGATGGAGGGGAGGAGGGGGGGGAGAGAGAGAGAGAGAGAGGGTGAGACAGACAGAGAGAGAAAAGGAGAGAGAGATAAGGAAAAGAAAGAGGAGATGGCAAAGAAGAAGAAGAAGAAGAAGTGACGGCTTGATGTTGCCATTAGTATCAGTGGAACATCAGTAACCTGATTTCCTGGTTGCTATAAAGGTAGAAAAAACAATCCAATTTTCCATATGATCGAAGATATAATGACATGCTGAATATATAATGATATACATTGGTATTATATCCAATGATGGACGCTTATGTGCACTCTTTATGGTTGCGGGCTTATGGAGAGTTACTCAAATGACGTTAGAGGCGAAGTGACAGCAAATTCCTTTTCTGTTCTCTCCTTTTTTTTTTTTTTTTCTGGCAAAGGGACACCATCTCCAAGGCCAAGCTCCTATTTCATCATGTTGCTTTTTTAGCAAATTTTAAACATCTTTGAATGTTTGCTTTCATAATCCACTGATCCAAGGTTTCAGTGTTAAAACTCAGCAGGTGGGAGAACAAGCCATGAAAAAGATTTGTCCCCGCGTGAGTATCAAACAGCAACTCGAGGACATTTAAAGACGCTCGTTTCCATCTAATGCATACTTATCAAGAGATTAAGCAACAACCATGTTTTCTCCTTTCACTGTCAATTGGAAAACAGGAAATGACTGCCTTTGAAAATTGCATTGTTTCAGCAAAGCATTTGCCAAACAACACACTGTATTCCACACAGCATGAAATTAACTAATCAAAATTCAAGGTCCAGGAGCACATTTGGCAGCTAAAGAAAAACTTCAAAATGGCTTTTGTGATGTGCGGAAATGAATGAATGTTCCCATTCAGGGTGATGTGAAAGTATTGCTTGTCTATTTTACAGCTTACAGGTAATATTCTTTTTCTTTTTTTTTCTCCTTTCTGGTGTGTGTGTGTGTATGTGTGAGTACGTGTGGTTTCATTAAAAAATAATCATCCCTCACTTTTAGGCAATGAGGCAGAAGACAGGCATTTGAAACGACATCTGTTCCACCCAAGCCTTTGAAGTGAAAATAGAATAAACTGAAGGTAGAGCTAATGGAATGACAAAACAGAAAAAAAACAGAAGGCTAAATAATCTCCAGGAAAACTCACATGTATTCATACGGAGGGAAAAGAGTGATGACACACAACAGCATTGCAGCAGCATGTAATCAACAAGGAGAATAAAGGCCACAGTCTCTCATTTCCTTGCTTTATTTTCTCCTCTTGCAACACGAGAGCCATGTTTGGGAACTCAAGTATATACAGTAGAAGGCTGACAGGCGACCATGAAATATCAATTAATCTGAGAGACTGAGAAGAATGCAGCTGAAAAATTAATGAATATGGCTCAACAATAAACCAAAAGTCACTCAGCGCAGTGTTAATAATTTCCCTTCAGATTTAAAAAAAAAAAAAAAAAACCCCTCTTAGATACTTAATTTGTTCTCATTTTCTCGCCACGTGTCATCTAAACCTGTTCTTTCCAAGAACACTTTTAGAAAAAAGATGGCCAATTCAACAACGTTATATAATTACATCTCAGTTTTCCTACCTTACAAAATAGTACTGCTTTGTATTAGAATGTTAAACATGCCCTAAGCTAACTGGTTCACTCGGGAAAACTGTCTATAATTCAAACATCTATTGAAAGAAAACCACACAGCTTCTCTTGCTTTAAGAAGACCAATTTGAAGCACAAGAATACGGGGTGCAGTCTTCTGTATAAACTCCCTGTCTCTGCCAACAAAGTGTAAAAACGTGCCATTTGCTACGACCATAAACATATCCATCACTGCGGTTTTACAAATTATCGACGGTGGATAAACAAATACTCGCCACGTAGCTACAATATCAAGCTTATTTTCCTGGATTTTCTCCTACAGGTGCAGAGAACAGTAATGATTATGACAGCTGTTGCTGTCAGTTGAGAGAAAAAGAAAAAAAAAAAGAAGAAGAAGAAGAAAAAAAAAAAGACAGTCGCATCCCTTATTCATAATGCAACATCTCGTGGCTGCAACTGCATTCTGCTCTATTTTCTGATACTGTCAGTGGTGAGATCCGTATCTTGGTCCTCTTCCGTGATGGACTTGTGTTGATGCAAAATAGTGAGAGTGTGAAGCGCTCGGAATTCTCGTGAGCTGACACCAGATCTTGATGTTTACCCGTTTTAGACTGATGGACGTTTATTTCCTGTCCTGTCCCTTTATTATTGCGCTGAAGGTATCTTGACATAACATGATGTTATTTCATTGGACCAGTTATGTTGTTATTAGCAAGAATCAGAACTACTACATTAACACTGCAAAAGGAAAACTACATTGCTTATAGTGAAAATCCAACCCCCATAAATCCAGAAATCGCCTCCAGGTTACTGAGAAAACAGCAAAATTCTGATTCAAATGACAAACTGATGAAACATGGTTTCACTTACTGCACATTAAGCCTATGCATACATCTTAACAGCATAGGGTTTTTCAACAGTTAAGTCACTGGATGCTGATTTTCTCCACACAGAAGGACACACTGTTCATTTACAGATCGAGACCGAGAAGAAAAATGCAATTAGAGACGGCCAAAAATGGCTGTTAGAAGGTAAGACCACCGTGTCCTGTACAGAGTAGCAGCAGCAGCAGCAGCAGCAGCAGCAGTCTAAATATATTTCTGTACAGAGTTTTCTAGTTTACCAGCAAAAAGATTGAACTATAGTGTCAGTCTTAACCCATCAGCATTTCTGTTGTCTGATAGAGGAAAAGAGAGAGAGAGAGAGGGGGGGGAGAGATAAAAGAGGTGGTAAGTGAAGAGAGGGAGCGATAGGGAGGATGAGGAGGAGGGGGTAGCTGTAATTCTGAATGGACAGCACTGCGCTGGCAAGACAAGATTAGAATTGACAGCCTGATAACTGCGTCACTATCAAAACAGCAGAGAGAGAGAAAAAGAGGGAGGGAGAATGAGGAAGTGAGAGCGAGTGAAGAAAGTGAGATGCAAAGAATGAAAAAAAAAAAAGAGAGAGAGAGACCGAGTTGATGCAAAGAAAACAGATAAAAGCAGAAAAAGGGAGTGGAGTGATATAGAAAGAAGAGGATTAATAAAAAAAACAAGGAGGACACAGAGATGTGAAAATTAGACAATAAAACAGGTAAGAGGTTCTATCGCAGCCCCCACCGAATATATGCATCATAATCATCATCACCAACAGCAAAGTGGAGAGTGCTGCACGCTGTATCGATCTCAAAAAGGCCATAAAAGCAAACAGGAACTACTCTGAGGTGACGCACTTTTCTCTTTACCGCGATGGCCGTTACACCATGATGCAGATACTGAGCGCGGCGCTAAATCAAATCTGAATGCCATCCACTCCCGCAGCCTGTACACATTGTTTCATGGATTTCGAGCCAAACAGCTGTAAAATGGGGAAGAAAAAAAAAAAAACACAAAAAACAAACAAGCCAGGCGCACACACACACACACACACACATCGCAGAGGCTTTCAGTGTGTGCGAGCGTCAACAGAAAATACACGATAAACCCATTTTTACATGCTATTTTTGCAGGCAAATATTGTCTGAATGTGCACTGGCCTGAAGAATGAGATAAAGCAAACACACTCCTCAGCAACTGACTGTGACACAGAAGAGGCTCTTTAAAGCAGCAGTTTAAGAGCATCAATCACAGGTTCGTAGTGAAATAATCTTTCATCTGGGACTGAATGGGGAGGGGGGGAAAGAAGCAAGCAAAATCTGATTTAACCAGCAAATTTTCCTACAATATATATCATCTTGCATTGCCTAAATGTTGTCTTAAGAATGAATTTAAAGCAATTAAAATCTTTATGGCACATGCTTGAACTAAACTGTGTTATTTTGGTTCAACTCGGACTGTGCTTGTTCCCTAGAAAATCTGAAATTTATGCACATCTGCCCTCAAAAATCCCCACAATGGAAGCAAATATGTTGTATACATGTACACTACTTTCCCACAATGCAATGTGTTGCTGTTTATGGCTAACCCACATTGTCAACACTTGTCAGGGATGGGAGAAATGATGGTTCGTAAAAATCCTAATTTACTTTTCAATATATAATCAAGTGCTGAGTGTTACTAGTGGAGGAGTAAATAATGAAGTGATCATGGATGCAGTTTATGCAGCGCAAACCTAAAATAACTAATTTTTGGATCACTTGGAGGCAAGTCCGAAACAAAGTCTGACAT